AGGGTGGTATTTAGATTATTATACTTTCAAGGGTGAAAGATAGACCTTTATGCTATTGGGTGCAGTTTTTTGTTTAGATTTGGATACCGTAGTTTATTTATCCATCTGGAAATTTGATATGCCACAAAACTTTTACAGATCTCCTTGGAGCTTATATTTTTTTTATCCAGTTGGGACCTCTTTTGGTTTGTTATTGATGCCATAAACCCAAAGGATGCCTCATTAAAAAATTTTGGCCACTGTAGTTTAAAATCATCTATGGTTTCAAACAATTAGTTTTTTTTTATTCTGATTCTACTCTCTTTTAAATATTCATCCAAAGATGCCACCTCCAACAATAAATGTATCTCCATGGAAAATAATTTTTGTACATTCCAGAACAAATTATTGCTTTTGTATTGACACCTCTGGACATTGTTGGCCAAGATCTGCAAGAGAACTGTAGGGATAAGGGGGTGCAGGGGATATTGAGTCTTTTTATAAATCAGGAAACATGTTTTTTTTCTTCTGTTGTTGGTAGTGCGTACGGTGCAAAAGTATTCCTTCATATAAGGCATATCAAATGCTGGCTCTTGTTTACTCTAGCATTTGTTTTGTGTTAGAATAATTACATGCAAGGAGTAGTACTTGCTCAAATGCCTAAATTCTGCTCTTTATTTGGTAAAAGTGTGCCTGTTCGTGCAAAGGAGGGGTGGAGGGGGCTTAGGAAGCCTCATATAGGTGTTCCAATGCATTGTTTTATCACTGCATCTTTCATACATTTTCAGTATCCACATCTATTCTGTTCGTTTCTTTTCCCTCCAGTATGCTCCCTATATTTGTGCTCTTCTATGGCTTCAGTGTCTCCCCATATTGTGGCTCTTCTCCCCTTCCAGCATTCCTCCTTTAGTGCACCTCTTTTTCAGACTCAGTATCCTCCTCTCTATACTGTTAATATATATATATATATATATATACATACAGTGATTTGTGATTTACGCTATGCAGTTTTCTATGAGCTGAACTCTGCAGTATTCCTGCAGCCAAAAATATATTTGCTAAAGCACATGAAGCAGACCAAGGTGCTTTGCCCCAGAAACTAAATTGATCTATTTGACCCACATTGAACTTACACACCATGGTTTAAGTTAATTATTTTCTATGTGTCATAACCATTCTGAGTGAATTGAACTTTAAAATGTAGGAGCTGGATTTGAGAGAATCATGCACTAGACAGGATAGCAGCATGTACTGTGTGTTTAATAGTCTTTTTCTGTTTCAAGTTGATCAGTCATCCAATCTTCACTTTTGTTTAAAACTTTTTAGTAAATGGACAAATACAAAAAACAAGAGTCAGATTAATCTCTCTGCTCACAGTTTTGCTAAATAGTATAGTATACAGTATATATAAATGTATAAAATAGTCTCCTGAAACATAAAAGCAAACTGCAATATCATGACAGTTGTAGAGCTACCCTCCAGGGCCCCTGAATGCTTTTTTTTTTGGTTCCCTGTCTGTCACAAGCCTTGCTCTGTGAGCACAACCCCTGCTGACACCACTGTAGACCTTTGACCAGGATGACCCCCTGGCTTTGAACCATAACCTAAACACACACAATTTAGAGACAACAGATATTCTGGTTATATTGAGGTCAGAATATAAAGAGTGCAAGCACAACAAAAATGCCAGTAGATGTGCAAAAGATAAGAGGTAAATATTCTGAAAGGTTCAACACTCTAAAAGGAAACACTAACACTTAAAGCAATTCCCAGATATCCTGCAGGGACAGAATTTAAACATCAGTTCCAGCTTCTACGACATTTCTCCCCAAGTGAGCTTGAATTAACTATCAAGTTGTCAGGCTAACTCACTTTTGGGTTCTCAGTTGCTGGTAACTGGGTTTAACTCTGGAGGTGAATATTTTGGTTACGAGTAACAATGTCCCCTTACATAAAGGTGTGAAATCTTCTGCGAGCTTGATGGGGCCTTGGTTGGTGCACATTAAGGTTCAGCTCCCCTCTGGTTTGAGAGCAAAGTTCCTTTAAGATAGTGTAATCACAGAAAGATTTCCCCTCTGATGTTGAATTTGGGTATAGTCTTTTTAACACAAAAAATGAAGGCAAACATTAATTAAGGTTGTAGAAAGGGGCAGAAGCAGACTTCAGCAGAGTTTTACCACCTTAAAGATGGTAAACTAGTCTGGTGAGAGAAGTTCCTTTGAAGTTGAAAGAGACTTGAATTGAGATAATAATGGAATTCTGTCTGCCGTAGCTAAACTCCTGCAATTTTCAGTCTGGACCTCAGAGTGATAAACTGTGGTGTGAGGTGTACTAAACTGGAAAAAGACAATTGAACATAAAACAGTCACTTTCAAATTGTGATGATCTGGTTATGGAACCCTTTAACACGACCTGTAGCTTCTGCAGCGTAACAAGTAGTCCCTCATTTGGGGGGCCCCCGTGTTCTCTTGGTCCCTCTGTTAGGAAGCGATGCTGATGACAGCACAATGATCCTCCTCCCTGAAGGGTTGTCTGTCCTGCTTGTCAGCGATACCAGCGGTCTGCAGTCCCTTGTCACTTCTCTGCTCTGTGGCCCAACCCAGCCCAGATCTCCGGAGTCCCGCACAGCTTTCTCCACACACCCATCCTCCGCCTTTCACCATTCACTTCCTTGCCGTAAAGTTCCTGGGCTTCTCTATATATCTGTTTCTGCCCTTTTGCCGGCTCGTCTGGGAAATGTAGTCTGTTTACTCCTTATCTGAGCACAGAATTCCTGCTACCAGCATTCAAGTTCAACAAGGCTTTACTTCAATAGAGTCTGCAAACTGAATCACAGAACACTGCCATCTTGTGTTTAATTAACATCCTGCAACCAAAACTAATGCAGGGTGTTACACAGTTATCAAACATAAGAGGTTATTATAGCATTTCAGATTAATATTGAATGAACTAAGTTCTGCTAAGTTTAAATGTTCATTTTATACCTCATTCTATTAATAAATGTTAAAGCCACGCTTCAGACAAACTTTATTTAGTTTTGGATAAAGTAGTGAAGGATTAATACCTCAGTTGTTGTTTTTTTACTGTTGTCTGTGTCCCAGGCAAATTGTCCTTCACTTTTGGTCAATGTTATACAGAACATGATGTTTGGTGAGGGCAAGAACCTCTCCAGCAATGACACAAACAACCATAAAATGTTTACACTGCGTGTTATGTTTCCACTGTGGAAATGTCCTTGCATTTGCTGTCCAGCTAATGACTGTGTCCTTTCTGATGACACAGATAAAATTTAAAAGTTATGAGAACTTCACTGCTGATCTTACTCTATTCATACCTAAAGCATTTGGCTAGAGATATGCATGATGGAAAAAAATTTGTATCATTTCAGATTCATTCATTAAAGTGATATTAAATGCATAAAAAACCCAAACATATCATATTTATCTGCTCTGTATAGTGGTTTTGCACAAAGCATCCTTCTCATCTTGGATCCCCCAAAGATGCTCCTGGCCCCTCACTATGGGGGCACCAAAGCAGGCTCACTCCCCTCTCTCTCCTCATTGGCTCTCCAGCTATGATTGATAGCAGTGAGAGCTAATGTCTCTCACTGTTGTCTCAGCCAATGAGGATGGAGAGTCCCCAGAAAGCCTAGGCTCATCACTAGATTGGAATGGGACTCAGAAGGTTAATTACCTTCATGCATAGGATACATGAAGATAAATAACCTTGAACCTTTACAGCCACTGTATGTTAATAATATCACTTCATCATATGCATTTTGCTAGAATGATTATTTTTTGGAATTTTTTCATATGATCGTATTTGTTTTGTATATTTGTTATTTTTAAATCGATTTGAAATTCAAATTTCAGAAGATGGCTATATTTGTTCTATTCTATTCTATTTTTTATTCTGTTCATTTCTATTCTATTCTATTCTTTCTTAGTCTGTGCTTTTATTTTCTATTCTCTTCTATTCTGTTCTTTTCTATTCTATTCCTTTATATTCTATTCTGTTTATTCTATTATATTATCTTCTATTTTATTCTATAAAGCAGCCTAAGTAGAAATTATCATCTTATTTTACTTTTATACCTTACTGTATTTATTGCAATATGTTTCTATTTCAAATTCAAATTCATTTTCAAATTCAAATAATTTGTTTTGTTATAATTTATGTCAAATTGTTGAAATTCATTACTATTGTGATTTTAAAATTCAGATACATTCGAAGCTCCGAATAACAAAATTTGTTTCCGAATTTCAGTTTGGAACAAAATGAATCTACTATCTACATTTGGTTGTTGTTGAACTTTGAAATTAAAATTTATATTAAATAATGTTAACTTTAAAAATAATTGTTGCTTTAGTAGATAATATATATATCCAATTCCAGCTTTCTAATTGCTCCCACCCTCTTCCAAAGTCCCAACTCCCCAACTTTTTAAATTTCTTTGTACATACATTTTTATTTGGTGTTGTTACTTTGATTACTTGTTGCACTGGGGTCCTCCGTTTCTTTCTTCATTGATGGGCTGTAGAGAAGGGTGCTCACCCAATGACATGGCTTAATTTGACAGCATTCTACTGTAAATTCAGGGCATTTTTAATAAGCCTGTCTCCAACCTATTGGGGCATGTCTGACTTCTGGTTGAAGAAGACCAGTGCTGGATCATGGAGGAAGACCTAAAAGACAGCACTGGCCCCAGGGGGAATATTCTTGATGCCCTGGTCTCACAGGTAGTGGGTAAAAGAGGACTGGTATTGATCCATGAAAAGGATTCAGAGAACGGCACTGGAACATAAGGGTGAATATTGCTTGTTTTTTTGTTAATATTGGAGTGGAGTAGCTATTAAAACTGGAATTGAGCTTTTAGCATGTATAGATCACAAACGTTAAGTTTTGTAATGTGTTCTTTTCAAATTTATTTTTAGCATTGAATTGAAATGATATAGAATATCGTGTGTGTTGCTATATATAACATAACTGAATCTGATTTTTCTTTTTTGTTTTATTTTTAGCTGATGGTTGGAATAATTCAAGCTGCTGAGCTGCCCGCTTTAGATATGGGGGGTACATCCGATCCTTACGTGAAGTTGTTTCTTCTCCCAGATAATAAAAAGAAGAAATTTGAAACTAAGGTTCACAGAAAGACTCTCAACCCTGTTTTCAATGAACAGTTCACTTTTAAGGTATTTAATCTTTGTTTCTATATGGACTAGACTGTAAAACAAAGGAAATACAAAGGAAATACAAATGCTTCAGTGATAATGTAAAACCAGGGCAATGTGATCAAAGAATCAATGATACTTCATGTTATAGGATTCAGAATACAGAAAGATGAATTCGGACTTGTTGCCATATATGCATGTTTGTCTTTGATTTTGTAAAAAAGCCCTTTAAGTTTCATTTTGCTAACAGATACAAGAAGTGTAAGCTGAAAGTCTATATAATTGGTAAAGTTTAATTGTACAGGCAGTTGCAGTTGAAAAAAAAATTCTTACAAATGTAACTAAAACCTATTGTGATACAGTATGTCATTAAAATAGTTCTAGATCATCAGTTAATCTTTAAGTAGTTAGCCATTACATAGGAATTTCACTAAGCATTATAGTCATTGGACATAGCCCTGTTATAATTTATTAAATTGCAACTATATCTGTAAGCATAAACAACTGTGTGTTTATTCACCAAGCTGCCAGCTGCCAGGTACAATTGTAGAAATCTTCACTAGCACTTGCTAAGTTTGGCTGTTCTTGGTGGAAATGTATAGTAGATTAGGCTTGAATCAGCTCTGTTTCCAAAACGCATTCAATGATCCCATGCTCGGCTCCTGAATAAATCATGCTTTCTCTTAAAACAGTATACTGCATACACAACATTAGCTTTTTCAATTAAAGCCTAAATGTAGCTAAAATTAAAAAAAATAAAAAATCTGCACAAGGAACTTAGCTTACAGTCAGTAGTATGTGTCTCTTGGGCTGAATCTTCTTCTGTTTAAAATGTCTATGAATGAAACAGGGTCATTCATAGGAGCATTCATAGACACTGTAGTATGGCATCTATGAATGGCAGAGCTGGCCAGAAATTGCAGGCATATTTATGCTCTGTTGAGAGCTTGTGACAGCCCATTAGTTTTATTAACCCCCAACCGCCCCAGAAAATTACACCACGGAGGTTGGGGAGGGGGGCATTGACAGAGGGGGATTTCACCTAAAAGAAGAGGCATCAACACAATGAACACATCCTGCTGATTGTAAAATGTGTCCCGTGTGCTGATTTTTATGTTTTCTTTTTATTTTACCTACACTTAGGCTTAGCTGTGCAAAGAAAATGAATGATATACGAAGTGATGTTGCCTATAGCAAACTATCAGATTCTAGCTCACTTTACTCATACTAGGTGTTATGCTGCACGTTAACATGCTTTGCATTAAGGCAGCCCATTCATTTGAAAAGGGTACCTAACACACCAAAAAAAAGACGCATGTATCATTTCTGGCACTGTTTCGCACCAACGCATGAATATGAATAGGCCCAAATTCTTGATGAATGTTATTAGTTGCTTCCCTGTGCACTTTGCTCTTTGCGCAATTGTAAAAGCCCAGTCATTTCAATTTCTACTGAGTACAGAATAACTATTAAAGGATAACTCCTGATTAAACACAAAATACAAGTCATAGATCTGGAAAATATATAGAAGATGGCTGTTTTAAACTTTTTAATGACACCATGACTATGCAAAAAGAGGTTCTAGTAGTAGTAGCTAAGGATGCAGCTCACAAACAATAGATGCATTCATCCCGATACAGAAGATGTTTACGGATTTTATCCTGACTGGAATTCTCCTTTAAATTGCATATTTGATGCAACCCCACCACAAAGAAAGTTGATAGCTAGCTTATATTTAGGGATTTGAAATCTTGTCAGCCCAAAATGAAGCCTTACTTTTTATTGATCAAGCCACAGATGCTACTAAGTTATTATTCATGTATGCTATACCACTATAAAACAAATCTGTGTGGGATAACTTCTAAGTTGTTAGAACATACCAATTATATTAATATTTGTTACTGTAATATACAGTATAGCAATAGGGTCTCTTTAAGTATACCTAACAGAGTAATGCCAGCCATAGACAGATTTAAATTTGTCCAGTTCCTGATGAACTTTGATCTATCTATGGTTGGGTTGGCTGTACTGAAGTCAAACCAGCCTGTCAGTTTTTTTTTCATGCGGTCATAGCCACCAGCAGTGATCACTGTATTCTAAGGGTGGGGAAACCTCCAGCTGCCAGAGTACAATAGCTCAGTGGGAGGGATTCCCCCATCAACACTGACTGTGTTGATGGGGAATCAAGTGGATTTCTTTCTTTCAACCCCAGTTTGAAGGAAAGAAAATTGCATAATATGGCTTGCTTAAGTGAAGCCACAGTTGGTCTGATAAAATAAACAATGTGACTGTTTCAAACATTATGCATGTAATGGCATAATCTGCATGTAAGGGTCTAATCTGTAATCTGCATGTAATTCCCCACAAATATATTTTTCAACATGTTGGAATATTACTTTGCAATGGATATGGTAAGCAAAAATTCCTTTTTCTGTAGAAAAAAGTATTATAATAAAAAATCCATCAGATGAACTGTGGAACAGATTGCAGTGGATTTGGATGGTATGTGATTCATTTGAAGTCAGGGAGATTTGCCACTGACCATCATTCTTGGTGAGTCATTTGGCCAATTGTACCCACTCTTAGGTATGCAGTTAATCCAAAAACTTGAGGAGTGAACTTTGAAAAGGACCACGGGAGGTCCTGAAACATCAAAGGTGTTCTGATGACTGAATAACATGGCTAAGACATGGATAAGACAAGAGATCTTTGTCACATAGTCCATTTAAAATGCCTTTCAGTGTTTTCACCTATTAAGATATTAGTGGTTTGCTACATTTTTTCCTTTTGCTAGCTGATTTTACCTAGGTATCCAGGTGATGCACAAGGATCGTTTGCCCTCTCTAGGCAGCTGTATATATTACTGAACTTGCTTGAAGTATGTAATAGACTTCTGACAATTAGCATATTCTCATATGTACAGTAATTATATGAATGCCAAGTCATATCAAAAGCAGCCAAACACATGACTATACAGCAGATTAAACTAGAATATTTTCACTAAAGCAACTGCAACTATAAAAAAAGCAGTTCTAATACTTTAGAGAAATATATTACAATGGAGTACATGCTGCATGATTTCAAACCCACTTAAAGGTTAGTTGTATTATTTGGGTCTGTTTCACAGGCAGTGTAAGTTATAAGTATTATTAGGCATTATACACATTGTAAAGTTAATTAAATAAGAATTGTCTAACCAGGCAATGCCCAAGAGCTCATCATCTGATTGGATGAGCTGTTTTCAACCTCTTAGAACATACAATGAAATCACATCCCATCTGTCAGTGCAAATTGTGCAAGTGCCTTTTAATCTCAATCTGTCCTCCAATGTTTCTGCGCAAATGGCTGCCAATTACTGTTTTATCCAATTTGTAAGTAAAAACTGTCTTTATTCAGGCACAATTGCAATAAAATTTGCTTTAAACACTAGCTATCACACCTTGAGATGATTGACGATAGTGCAATATAGGAAATACAGGTATAGGTGCTGTGCTACCCATTTGAGGGAATTCACGTGAAAACTGATAAACTTTTATTAGTGTAAGTAGGCACACTTTGTGCTGTACCTCTTATTTTAAAAATTGCTGATAAATATTCTCAGTAAAATTTTACTAGCTTTTATGCATGTTTATCTCATATTGCATTGACAAAGAATTACAAATTGGAGGGCAATAAAAACACAAGCAAAAGTGATTGAAAGAGGGACCATTTGTGATTACTTGCGCACTTTGTGCTTTTTCTCTAAATCAAAGCATAGGATTAAAAAAAATCTTTAAAAAAAGTAAATGATGTTTCACACTGATAAGGAAGCAGGAATATATAATGTAGCTATACTTGCAGCCAGTGTTAAATCTTACTATCCCGAAAGAAATGGTGAAATGACACCTTTGAAAACTGTTAGAGCAGAACGTTTGCTTATTGCAATATAGTAATCCCATCCTAAAGAACATTCAATCAAGGCTTTCATAATATGTTTTAATACATCAGGCATATACAGCATTGTCCTTCTTTATTACTGCTAATATTTTTCTTTCTTTGTTTCAGATGTTTTGTTCCTCTTTGCCTAGTTTTCAAGTATGCTTTCAAAATCTGTGGGAAACTTGTGTTGCTTACATTTATACAGTTCTAACTGTAGTTTACAGCAAGAAAGGGTTAAAGCTTAGGTTTTAGGAAAAACTTTTAAATCAGGATAGTACTTACAATGAGTAAAAAGTGTCCCTTGTGCTGGTGGCTTCTATATTCATTGAAATCTTCAGTGCCCCCATCCCAACTACCTCCACAGCTGTGATCATTCAATGTTACAGGGATTTACATGAGTGGCAGGGACCAGTGTAAAAGTATGACAATGCCCGCCCTTTCCACTCCCCTCATGTACTCATAAAAACTGTACTGTCACTTCCTGCAATGAAAAGCACTCTATAAATGAAGGATGGGTAGACTAATAAAAAAAGAAGTCCATCTTCTCCATTCATAAAGTGTTTTTTATTGCACCCTAAGATCGCTGTGGGGGTATCTGGGGGCAGCAGAGGAATGAAGATTTCAATGGACACTTTCATTAATTGTAAACACAATCTCTGGTGCTGATTAATAACAAAAATATTTCACTAAACTTAAGCTTCATTGTGATCTGTATTTTTTTTTTAGTCAGTATGATTTATTGAGAAGAAAGGCAGCTTTTAAAAAGAGATGAAGCTTTGTTGTGTAAAACATACAATATATATACACTCTGCAGTGACTTTATTAGGCACACCTGTTTAATTGCTTGGTAATACAAATTGCTAATCAGCCAATGACATGGCAGCAACTCAATGCATTTAGGCATCTAGACTTGGTGAAGATGACTTGCTGAAGGTCAAACCGAGCATCAGAATGGGGATGAAAGTGGATTTAAATTACTTAGAACGTGGCATGGTTGTTGGTTCCATACGGGCAGGTCTAAGTGTTTCAAAAACTGCTGATCTACTGGGATTTTCGTGCACAACCAACTCTAGGGTTTACAGAGAAGGGTCCAAAAAAGAGAA